TTTTTTCTGGCCAAGTATTTCGCTTTGAGGCGCCGCTCTGCTTTTAAACTTATCTCGTGGGTTTACTGTTTCGTTCTCACTGGAGATGGCTATTTGCCGACTCAAGTCGCGCGATTCCTCCTTCCGTTCCCTCTTCATGCACATATGACATGAAACACGTTTCTCATCAGCGCCCACTTTGTGTGTAAAGAATGCGAAGAGAGCAAATGAACAAGGATGATTTTCTTACACGGTTTTCGATAGAAGCCTGTTAATTAACAGCTATCGAATAAAAAGGATAAAGAATAAAGCTCTCGGCGTTGATCAATCCCTGAAGGATGCGCCATGCAGTCGACTTCATTAAGCATCATTTGGGGGCTTTACATATTTTGTTCACAACAATTGTTTCATTAGATTCCTTGTTTCCTATTCTTCATCCACTAAGCCTACCTAGTTTGCTTCGAATGATATTCACCTGCTAGTCATGGATTCTGTCCCCTTCGTGAATTTCGCTAAATTGCGTTGAAGTTTATTCCTTCTGATATTGTTCAATAGGGGTATTCACAGGTTTTCGCCACAAGTAGGAGCCAGCTTTTGTGGATCGGGGGTTCCTTCCAAACAAGTTTAGCCCCAATTTCCCGACTTCAGAGGGATGGGGAGTTAACCGTTGTTTCCACCCGTAAACGATAGAAAAAACTCATAATTTACGTGAACATTCAAAGTTTCTATGAGTGAACAGTCGTTACAATCGGTTAACATTTCTATTTTCCAACGATTTTCTCCATAGAAGAGCGGGAATTTTAAATGTTTTTTAAAACCTATTTTGCACTACTCTGCGTTAATGCACCACCATAGAGATCGCATGTAGCATTTGTAACATACTAATGATCTTATTGGCGTGATCTAGTGAAGTTTTTTACTTGACTCTGCCATCTACCAGGATTACACAGCGAGTTCGGTTCGTTGAAGAGAAGTGACGAGCAGTGTTTTTGATCGTAACCGTCCACTTTTAGTATTTTTAAACAAAATGCCTGCAAGTAGCTTTTACAGTTTAACACTGAAATCTACCTTTAGCTATGAATAAGGCTTTTCAGTCCTTCGCCTGCTTACAAATAGATACACTTAGGCGGAGGATGTTAATAAATTTTGTATAGTTCAGCATACAAAGATAGGGGGCCTATTCCTTAAATGTATCTCCACCTTACGGCAAGCGCGCTGCTGTTTTTGGATAGCGTATGGCTGCTGTTCTTCGATGTAGGGTCTTACCATACAAGTTCACTTCTAAGCAGCTAGAGATCCCCTATACGAGGAAGAACGGTGGACATAAGATGACACTGCAGTTGAATAATCGACAAAATAATTAATAGGCACAGCGTGGGGGTGTTTCGTTACTTGCAGGATTTAGCGGACGATGTACTTTCGTATTGACCAGTTGGACGTTCCCGTCTTTGACATTTACTTTATTGGATCCTCCGGAAGAAAATATTGGTTTAAAGAAATCTCCTCAAGTTTAAATCAGCCGCAACGATTTGATGGTGACATTTCCTTTGTATTCTAGTTAAGAACTTATTTTCCTCGTGAAAAAGGTCTATTGCTGGAACTGCTTTATCAGGAGACCCTTTTCTAATGCTTATTTGTTATAAAAAAGACAAATGGTAAGAGATCCCTCGGTGTCGATCAATCCTTTAACGTTACGCCGTGTATTCGACTTCATTAAGCACCGCTAGCGGAGAATGAATGCATATATGCCCTTTACAATGACTCGCGGTGGCGCACCGATGTATCGAGTCAGTGATCGTATCCTCATAGACAGGTCTGCTCGCAGTTTGCCTAACCCGAGTAGATGGGAGGCTTATGTAACTTGGGGCCTGAAATCGGACTCACGTATATTATAGGACACCTCTCACCAATGTTCTACGCGCACCCTTAAATTTTCTAGAATCTTAAAATGAGTAACAGCTCTTTTTAGTGAAGAAGACTCAATTCAAAGTCGGTCGTACAAATTAAAAATAACTTTGAGAATGGCGTCCTGGTTTTTTGAAAGTCAAAATGAGCGTGGATTAGTACTAAGACAACCTCCTCTTTCACTTTGCGTGTTTAGCGCAGATTTTCGGTTATATCCTATGGTTACCACCCGAAAAATTAACCATATGTTTAAATAAGTAGCTAACATGGATAAATTCGATTTGAGTTTTTATTATCTTTATGATGTTTCTAATTACAATACTAACCTTGTTTCCACTATAGCCTCTTATTTTTATAAGAAAACCACACTCAGACTTTTATGAGCTTCCTTTCTTGGGCTCAACAACCTGTTGTCTTTCTACACAGGACATGAATCTATGACGATCAAAGAGCTTAGGCTCATGTCTTAAGCTACTTGTTAGTAATTGAGTACGTTAAGGTAATGTCTACAGTAATATGATTTGAAAAGACCCTATCCTATGAAACATGCCACTGTTTGTTAATAAATATGACAGCATATCCTTACAAGGACAGTATGTAAGAACTAAACAAATTATAGCATGAGATCGCGGTGATACTGAATAGAAGCAGCAAATGGGTGAGATCGCTTGATGACAAGAGTTTTAGAATCCTGAAGAAGAAAAAACTGTGTACCACTATGAGGAAAGGAATTTGATACATACATATACACATATATATATCTACACCAGAAAAAAGATTCCTATAATCAGTACAAGGTTCGGCTACCATCTCATGTAGAGACGGCAAGGAATCGATGGCATGCACACACTCATTCCGAAATAAGAACGAAAAAAAGCGATTAATAGTTACGTGAGATATAAATAAGCGTGATAAATGGATGGATTAAATCAGTTTAGCTTGAAGTAGCAACTCTACAAAAGAAGTACGCATGCATGGAAACGTTTATGGAAATGTATGTATGTGTGTCGATGTGTGCGTGTGTGTGTGTGTGTGTGTGTGTGTGTGTGTGTGTGTGTGTGTGTGTGTGTGTGTGTGTGTGTGCATGTGCGTATGTGTGGTTGTGTGTGTGTCGGTGTGTGTATATGTATATTGGTATATTTTTGTACTTGTGTATGCGCATGTGCATATGCATGTTTAACTGCCTGTGTTTGCATGATTGTTCATAGGCATGTGCGTCTGTCTGTGTGCAAAGGTATCTACAAAGTTGTCATATTGAGATATAGAGCGACAATGAGTTAATGTTGGAAATAAATAAGAAAATTAAGAGTTCAGGTGATTTGGCTGAGCGTTCAAAAAAGACCATTTGACTATATTCAATTTCAATTCTCAGGATTAACGGCTATTGGAAAATCGAAATGACGTCATGCCGGATTTTTAATAACAAATAAACGGCTCTTTTATGGTAGAAAAGGTGAATCATGGTGAACAAAATACGGGTGATGAGATCGTAAAGAGAGAATCATACAGTAGTGTAATTAGATATCGGGATGTTTACATTTTGTTATACCATCACTATTACTATTAGTTGTGGTACTTTGTGTTATTATTATCACTAGTTTGTCGTTGTTGTGACTATTGTCGAAGTCGTTGTCATCACAGATGCGCATAGGGTTTGCTGTTAGGACATCATATACTAGCTTAGACTGGTACTTGGGCCTTGACCGGAAACATGAAGTCGGCTTCACCATCTGCATTTGCATTTGCCTGAAACTGTAGCGATAATGGTCAGACGCTCAACGACTTGACTCCGATTGGTAATCATTTTGCATAAATAAAAGTTTCACAAAATAGTTACAGTTACATTTTCATTGTTTTTCTTGGCGAACAAACAAGCAGTTGGTATTAAAGCATTCATTAACACCGAATGGCTGACATTTCGGCGGTTTCGCCTTCTTCAGAACCTGGAAAGCTCAAATGGTCTTGCAATCCACTGTCGATTTGACCTTTCCGGGCTCTGAAGAAGGCGAAACCGCCTAAATGCCAGCTATTCTGTATTAATAAATGCTGAAATGCCAAGCTCTTGTTTGTCGCCAAAAAACAGTGAGCTACTGATCAATGCCGAGGTTAAAAGAAAGTCGGTCATGTGATTAGGTACATTTTCGATATATAAGATGTAGTGCAAACGCATCAAGCAGGATCGTTCTATTCTTGAGGAATGTACCATTTATTCGACTCTATTAAGCATTGCTAAGGTGATAAAATACATATTTTGCCCACCTGGTCTGACAACTAATCATTAACTATGGAGGGAATGTATTGCAGAGCGCCTCTGACAAGGACGCTATACCCATTTTGGAACACATATCTAGGCATGCTTAAAAAATTTTTGCGAAAAAGCTAGAATCACAACGGAAGTGTGCTACGTGAAATACAACCACAAGAATGCTGGAAGGTAGGCAAAACTCAGAACCACAGGTGCGCTTCAAAACCACGATTGCCCTTCCGTAGGCTCACGTATGGCTCACGTAGGCTCATTGCACCAACCTAGCCCGTTGCTTTTCCGTTTTCAAAGATAATTTTTTTTTACTCTAACAGTTCTAGGCGGGAGCGTGTAGCACAGCGGTCGGAGACGCCCTGCAACGGACATAGGGTCCATCTTATCGCCCCAGGCCCACTGAGCTTTCCATCCAACCGGGTCAGCAAATTGGTACCAGACTTGTATGGAAGGATAGCAGCACTGGCACGATACATCGGTAGGCCACCATGAGTCATTGTAAGGGCCAGATATGCATTCAATCACCTCCAACGACACTTAATGTAGTCGAATGCATGACGCATCGCTCAGGGAATGATCAACGCCTAGAGCTTTTTCGTCAACAAGAAGCAGGATACGAAAAGTAGAAATCGGCATTGAACCCAGTTTAGCTGAAGCTGCAGTGAAAATTACAATGTTTTCATCTTTATTTAAAGTCACAAGTCTATCCATTTCTGTCTAGGAAATCTATGAGCGTCAAGTTATTATCCCTAACGATAAGCACTCCAGCGCCTAGTTACATCCATATAGCTGGAAAAGAAAGTCCAAATCCATATTATAATTTATTAGAGGCACAATTCTTCCATAAAACATCAATTAACTAGCGATATCGTACCTGTACCACTGGTATGCATGCAAGCGCAATGGTTTCTGTGTACTCTCGGAATGTATTACAAGTCTCATCAAACATTAGCACTCGTACCTAAATACAATTCAATAATAATTCGTGCACATTACGCATCTATATGAATTCTGTGCGGTTGAGCTCCACGTTAAATACTAAGAGGAAGACTCATGGAAAGCGGTGAATGTGAAATGGAGCTATTTTGTTTTCAACTCGATTGAAATCTTAGCTGGGTAGATTTCAGTCAACGCGACTGTCAGGGCTCTGAAGAAGGCGAAATCTCCCAAAACGTCATCTTGTTTGTAATAAAGAATAGAATAACAACCTCCTGTTCGCTCATTATGAAAACAATAAATAAATAGTGCGGTTTATATTCAGATCATGTATAATCTACAAATTAATTTTAACTTTCTTTACGCTTAGGAATATCCCACTCAACAAAATCGTCGCGATCGTAGTAAATCGTCTACGTCACCTATAATCCACTGAACTGACGTCGTCTAGGGATACGCAACATAACTGAGTAACTAAGTGGTCTACTCAGTAATTCTTAACTGATCGAAAGTTTTAGTATTTCAAGTAATAATAAAATGGTAAACGACAAAAGTCCCTCTGATATTTAAACTCTTCTATTGACGAGCATATATGATCAAACTGCCTAGATACTTTTTGTGGGAATGCAGTGAGGTTAAAAAAATTATTTGTCTTCCTGGTAGAACAGATTTTTGCTAAACATTTCACTTCATTCTCTGCAAACTCATTCCTTAGTATTATCTTCCATCCAAGCAAATCGCGTCATCGGAACCAACGTTTGATGTATAAGTGGCCAACCAATGTTCGCGAAAAATCGCTGGCTCCTCAATATGATTTTAAGAAACTGATATAATAGTGATTAAAAATGGTTCTTGAGGATTTTTCGTAAAACGTTGAGGAATACATTGTCCTGACCTTCACCGAAATTTCCACCAACTGCAAGAACAAGCCAGACATCCTGCTCAGAATTTAGGGTTGCCACTTCGTCATAGTGTTCTTCCAGGACGGTAGTGTGTTTTCCGGCGAGCACTTTTTTTGCTAATGGCGGAAATTTTTGGTAAAAACATATTTTCATTTTGCGTGGTTCTGTCGTGAGGGCGAACGTTCTGTCGTACATCCAAGTTCGACAACCACTAATACACTATAGCTGAGATGATGTGTTAACACCATAGCCTGGGCAATGAACAATCACGGGAATAAGGACGACGTTTTGTAAAAAGATTTACTCAAATACACGTATTGGCACGAACTGGATGGAGTTTCTACCGAGTTTTAAGTGAATGTTTATTTCTTTCATTTTTCTTGAACCTACGAAGCTTTCATGGATAAAAAAATCATTCATATTTATTATAAGGTCTGTTGAACATACTTGGTACCGAATATGTTCGCATTCGAAAATCCGTTTTCCGACCAATTTTGAATTCGGTCGATCACAACTGCATTTCACTTCCGTCAACGCCGCCGGTAGTCGCTTAAGAGAGAGTGTGAATTTTTATCCTCCTAATAGTTTTCCTATGCAATTTGAAGATGGAAATTTACTCAACTTAAATTTCACTCTTAGAGGTAAAGCAAATAGGTTAACTGGGATTAGACATGATGTTCATTTCATAGGGGACCATATGGAGCAGTGGTCGGAGACGCACCGCAACACACACGTGGAGGCGATCTTCGCGCCTATGGCCCACCAATTCTTCCATCCCTCTTAGGATGGCAAATTGGTACCAGACTTGTCTGGGAGGATAGAAGCACTGGCTCGATACATCAGTAGGCCACCGCGAGTCGTTGTAAGAGCCAGATATGCATTCAATCATCTCAAAACGATGGCTAGTGAAGTGGAATGCACGCCGCATCCTTCAGGGATTGATCAAGGCCGAGAAATCCATTCTTTTATCCTTTTATTCGTTTCAAGATTACTAGAGATAGAGAACCACTCCAAATTCATTTAAAATTTTTTAAATTCATTTTCTGAATTTATTTGAATCTTAAGAAAACAGTAGTGAAGCTGTCAGAAAAAGTTGTTTATGTAGGAAATGAACAAAAGAGCTAACCCTTGGATTGTAGTTGAGGACATATTCAAATTTGCATAAGGCCCTTTCTCGTAGCGGTGTTTCAGCGCTTATCACCTCCAACTTTTTACTGTTACAAGAAGTCGAACTGGTTGTGATTTGTTCTCCGTGTCGTAAGCCGTTTAACTGTAACAGAAGACGATACAGCGGTTATAAGGTATCGACTATTAATTTATCCGACCAAAATGAGCAAGCTCAGAAATCAACGGAGGAAAAAATCTTTCACAGAGAAGTCCTTTACTGTATAAACTCACCGTTTCAAATTCTCAATTTTACCACTAAGTGATGGTGAACTCATTTTCTTCATTAGTTTCGCACAAAAAAATTTTTGTGTCGGTTTTTGAACAAGGTTTTCAAACAGGAACAGCTGCGTCATTCTTCATGTCATACTTCACACTTAGCGTCATGTTTGATGTAAAGCGCGGTTATAGAGGAGTGCATATACTTTTACCTTTTGGGCAAAGTATGTTCACATTCAACCATTTGCTGCCGTGAGTTTAAGAAAATGAATTCCATCCACAGTAATCGGTTGTTGTACTTTCATCTCTCTGGGAATATCACCTATACCACCCTGAATTCGGAAAGTGATATGACCGGATCCCAGCAAACTGATCAATGATATTTATGCCATGCGGAGAAGCGGAGTGAGTTACACTCGGCAAAGAACCCAAAATTTTCGTATGAAGAGCATTATTTCCACTGTTTCAGGCGAATCCGAGAGCAGAGAGTATTCTCGCGTTATTGGCGAATTCCTTGAAAACATATTTCGGAACTATTTACTGTCGACAGTTCCGGACCGACTCCTTCCCAACCACATTTGAATGGAGGATTTTGGTCAGTTCAGCGTGGTAAGATACAATCCACATTCGTACATGCTTATCAAAATCGGCTTGTCTAAGCAATTTTATGTTTACAGAAAAAGGAGACGTAATCCAATGAAACACAAATGGAGAATCCATTTCTTGAATCTATCTGTTGATCGTAGCAAATACAAGATCGATTTCAGTCTATGTTTGGCTCATATTCAAAATCTGAAGAAATAACACGTAACTGCGGTGCTAACTTGTGATCCCTTACACAAAGTTGATCTGTAGTTGGAACTATGCACGTATATTTTTTTAATGAAGAATTTTGTGAAGTGTTCACAGACTCTCTGCCACTGTTTAGGTGGTCAAAAGTTGTTAGTGCTTCATACTTTAATTGTGTCGACTTAGACCGGAAGAAAAACTAGCAGTAACTTTGCGATTTCTTAACTTCTGGTGCATTTCGGAATGCAAGAAGAACGTTCGTTGATAGTTTTGTCAAAGGTTAATTGAGGTATTCAAAGATTACGTGCACTCGTGCTACGGACGCTAAAATAGCGCGAAAATAAGGTCAGCCTCATTGTGAGGTGAGTAGCGGAAAGGTTAATTAAACAGCCGAATTTATTTGAATTTTTTGCTTTCGGCTTATTTGGTCCGTTTAGCTAAACTTGCATCGTCTAATTGAGAAACGTTGATTATAATTTCGATTTCCTTGACTCCTAGATGTTACTAGACATAAACGGCAACTTATTACCGCCCACACTAATAACTGGTTGGATGTGATCTGCGTGAAGTGTGATTATGTTAATTTCATTCATCAGTGACGACGCACTGATATGTTGTTGTTTGAAGAAACGATGTGATTCATTACCTGAGGTCATTCCTTGGAGTGACCTTCTTTCCCTGTCATAATATACCATGTTATAATATTACAACGGCCCCTTCCATGCTAACACACATTCGTAAAGAAATTTACACTCTGGTATTTAAAGCTACTATATGGAAAGTGATTCTAAAAGGTACTAATGATCCTCCATGAATTTAATGCATATTCTGATGATGTCAGTGAAATAGCAGTAGTATTGTTATGTAACACCATCTCTGTGACAATGTGGAGGGTATAAGCACACACTAACGCAGAAACAGTTATGACGCAAGGATAAATGAAAAGTAGACTGAAGCCCTACATCAAGAAAAATAAAAGAAAATGCTGAATAAAATTAAAAGACCTGCAGTTTTAGTAACGCTTGTTGATAAGAAGGTGCGATCGGAGAATAGTGTGAAGAGTTTTTTCGATGCAGAAATGCGGAAAAGACTTTGTGATGATTTTCTTCTGAGTAGCGATGGTAGCATTCATCTGATGTCGACAAATCGTCTATACTACTCCGCCGAACTCGAAACGGTCTGTTAAAATAGCAACTTTACGATGACGTTGCATTTAGAAATACAAGTAGATTCAGTGCTTTATTTGGGGTTAGCACCATAATGGCTATTATTACTATTTAATCAGTAATCTTAAGGAATAAACAGAAACAGTTTTAGTTCTACTACAACGTCTTTTTTCTGTAACAAGAAACCCATACAATACTTACACGGCTGCATGGACGAAATGTGAAAAGAATACCAAAGTGGGATAGATTAACTGTAACGACGAAATTTTGGCGGAGTCTGAAACAAAGGTGAGATAAGATAATAATTAGAAATAAGATAAATCGTGGAACAGATTATTCATAAACGAATGGGAGATGGAGTGCGAGAGAGAGATAGAGAGAATGAGATGTAAAGATAGACAAGTAGAGAATTAGTTCGACAAAGAGGTAAACGTTAGCGAGACAAGAAATTCCAGACAATAGCAATAGAAAAATGTTTTATCGTAAACAACCAATCAATAGTGAATCCGAGTACAATTTTCGGAACGGCGCATAGAAATATGACACAGATTTTTGTCTCTTCAACGATAAGCTTGTCACTTGTTAGCACGACCGAATGGAGAATGTCGAGGTTCGAAAACGTTCTCAGAAGATGTGACTTGAGATTCGACTAAGATTAAAATCATGAAACAGTACTTTTCATATAAATGATAAAATTAAAATTTAGGAGAGATTACCAACACTTTTGTACCGTACTTTGTCTGAAGAGAAGTGATTAGATTGCAACGGCTACCGTACGAACTGTCACTGTAGCTCACTAAATACTAAAGGTATAACTATCATTTGTAGATAACTAGCCCTTTTTACCGAAGAAAACTCAGCGGAACTGTCAGAATATGTTGCGAAAGATCGAAACCTAAAAAACACAATTATGCATATGTAAGCTGACAAATATGTACAAGCACATACTCATTTGTCCACGCAGACACCCAAACACATAGATATGAGGCCTATTCGCATCACCACAGTAGCTGTTGCGAAGTGAACTTCACGTTGGAAAACCACAAGCATATCTCGTAACACTCAAGTCGATTCGCTTCTATGTTGTAGCACCCGTCGTCTACAAAGACAGTTCAAAACAAACTGTAACGAATTGAATCCGTGATTTCCACCTTTAAGATAGAGTTAGAAACTTTTTACGTAAGGAAATACTGCTTCATTTTGATGTCTAATACTAATGTCTCAAAAAAATCCTTCAAGACCAGCGGCTTTCACTTCACTGTTTCTGCCGACGATATGATATATTATCCACAAATCACATTAATTTTAATGAGACGCCGTATGGAAGTTTTGCCTCTGCTGAGGGTAGTCCTAAGTATTTTCTGATTTTTTTGTTGTGTTTCGATGCCTAAATAAGGACGTGGTTTGAGGTGGGCACATCACGCTTTGAGCGTGAAGCTTCTTCAGCGGCGTAGTGACCAGTTTGCAAGCTACTTTTTTATGTAGCAATGCAACATTTCACTGCAAGCGCGAAGTTCTACGTTGCCTCTACAAGATGTGGATTGAATTTACGAGTGATTTTGCTGAAGGATTCCAAGCTTTTAGGAATAGACATCATCTAACAAAGACAAATTCGCTTTGAGTCATAGAAAAACAACGTGGAACCACTATCATGGTGTAAAAGAAAACTTTCAGGTCTTGCTCTATTATTGAACTATGCACACCATTAGTTAGTTCCTTACCCAGCAGTAGTGGTGAAGCCCGAATCGCGAAGGAAAACGTTCCAAGGGTATCTACCTAGAGATAGAATGAATTATTCGGAACATTTCAAAACCCTTAGGCTTAAAAACAAGAGGATCGCAAAGTTGAAGATCATGTGGAGAGTGGACTGAGTATCACGAGTATGTGGAGATCCGCTAATGAGGATGCAGAGCTGAAGATGTAGGAGGTAAAGGCGGATAGGGCGGAATACAGTTTTATGCTGCTGTTGGCGGCCACGCCTACTTTTGAACGACTACGAACTTTGAAATGATGACTGAAATAAACCATGGACGATTTAACTGAAAACTCCAGTAATTCGTCAACAGGGTTTGGAAACCTCGAACAATCTAGTCGAACTCTTACCTAGTTACAGCGAGTTTTGTGCTGTGTGACTAAGGTTATTGAATAAATTCAACTCACAATTTTTTGTCATCACGAAAAAGTGTCATCACATGAACAACAGAATATTCGTAACGAGACAAGAACTCGGTTATTTTCGGCTAGTGTGAAATAGACGCTTTGGAGAAGGATATAGCTCAGTAGTGCCTTGTGAATGAATCGGATAATGAGATGTTGCCACTGCATACTTCCTTTTAAACCCTAGAGGAATTTTAAAGATGCAAGGTAGCGTTGCACGCAGATCCGAGACGCTCTAAATGTCGAAATAAAACTGCGCTTAATTTTGAGATCAAGACATGGAGTTTTCGGCTTTTTCATATAAGTTGAATTTTGTCGCAGTGTTTGGTAGTTGGATGCGCAACAAGTGCGCTGAAGAATTGCGCTTGTTTTCAACGTCAAATTCTACTAAAAATTAGCGAAACAGGCTTTTATCATCCATGTACCTTGGACTGAAATATACATTCGCCAAAAGAAAAAGTCTGCGTTACGCTAAAAAATAATTGTTGTCTATATAGTGGTGACACCTAGATTGGAAAAGTTCCTATGACGTGAAATAATTTTGCTTTTCGTAGACGAATGAAGAATAATGCTGAAAAGCACTAAAATCCAATAGGAAGGGTGATTGAAAAGTAACCCTCTATTTTTAAACTTTTCTAATTAGTTATTTTTCACATTTTTTTACAAATGAGTATGAGAAGGAAGTTTACAGCGTTGAGTTTTATACAAAATGCGGCACGTGCACCTGAAATTGTTATGAACTGCTCGACCCATCCATCAACTTTACCAACTAATTTGATGAGGA